ATAATTCCATGGCCTTCGAGTAGCAATTGAATCTGAAAATTCCAAGTAAGATAGTTGGAATCATTAAGCTTGATAGTCACAGAAGTAGAGATGGTAGAGATAACAGATGTGATGGGTGATTGCACGATTTATAGTTGATTAGTAGTCACCATTGTAGCCTGTCGTAGAAAAATTGTGAATGAGATATGATCAAACACCTGGAGTGCGCTATAGTGATGAAGAAAAACTCATAAACTTTTAGAGTTCCGAGATCCAAAGATCGAAGAAGAATAAGATCTTGAGCGGTGGAAGCAAGAAATCCAAGATTGAAGAAACCTTTTAAGCAAGAAGAGCTTGACAGGCGAATGATAACATGTAAAGCAACAGATTATGTTGCAGTACTACAGAATGATGATGAAGGTTTTAGAGAGAATGAGAGGGAAATGTAGAGAGAGAGATTAATTCTTGTATATTTTCTTATGAGAGATACAACTCTTACACATTGTTATATATTCTCCTAACTAACAAGGCTTGCTTGCACACTAAGTCACTACAATCTCAACAACCCTTAACCACCATATAACAATCATACTAATCAATTGACACATGGCATCCCATCTAACCATTCATCTTATACTGCTATCAGTTTGATCCTCAACGATATGGAACTTTGTCCTCACATTATCACATGGGTGCCCAAGCCATGTGAGCTGCTGTTGCTGCTGTTTCTGTTGGTGCGGCTGGGCCATGACTGCATGTTGCTGGGCCATGCTGAATGCTGTGGAAGGGCCATGACTACATGCTGTTTGGACTAAAGGTAGAGGGGATGCCATAATAAAAAGAAAAACAAAAGCGGAACTTTGAAGCAACTAAAAGACAAAAGGGAAAGCTTCAGATAAGGGAAGGCTTCGTTTGAAGGAGACACAGAAAACAAGAAGAAATGAAAAGGGTAATGGATGGTTGAGAGATGTAGGAATTGATTATGTAGTGACCGTAGGATACTCTGGAAGATTGATGGGGAAGAAATAGTAAAGCACCCATGGCATGCTTACCAAATGGGAATAGAGTGGAAAGAAACAGAATCGCATTCCTTCTGAAGCATTCCAGCATTTACTAACATTTAGGGAATGAAAAAGTAAGTAGGGCCCACACAAAATCTGGAATCGAATTCCACAAAATGGTGGAATCGAACTTCTTAGATGTGTGTGGTATTTTAGTTCTGGATGAGGGAGTGAATGGGAATGCATTTTTTCTACCTATTATGCCCTCTTAATATTTTTAAAATTTCAAGTTTGCACACAACAAACCCACTGCTTTAGGATTTTGGAATAAGGGTATCCCAAAAGTACAACAAGGATCAAAGAACATCTTAAAGCTTGCCTCTTTGCTTTCTTAAAAATAAAACGGACTACGCAATAAGAGGCTCAACCATAAGCCCGGGGGGAATGTTGAAAACAATCTTATTAGAATTTTTTGAAGCGACTTTCGAGTGAGGGCAATCGTCATAGTCAGCCAGCGAGTAATCCTAAGAAAGCTAGCTACCTAGCCTTTCTTAGTCCCATCGCTAGCTTAACTTAAACTAAGGAATAATAATAGGAAAAACCCCAAGCCCCTATAAAGTAAAGTAAGCAATTTAAATGTTATTATTCTGTCTCTTTCCTCTGCCCGGTACCAAAGCCACTCGAACTTCGAATGTCGCACCAACTCCCTCAAAACACAAGGGAGAGGGCATTGTTCTCCGCCTATAAAAACTCCATACTAGAGGATCTTTACCTTATTCCTAGAACGAAATATAGACATTGGTACAACAGAAGGCTCGAGAGACCTCGAGCGACACATCGTAATTTACGCTAACCTCAGTGTACCATCAGGGATACTTTAGCCACATCTTAACCCATGGTTGAAGAATAAGGCAATCAAGAAAGGCCGCCCCTTGAACTGGATAAAATGTCCGAATACCCTCTCTTTCCTTTTCATTACAAACAAAGCGAAGGCTCTACTTAGACCTAAAAAGAATGAAGGCCCGTGCAACACCCGGCGTTAACACTCCAAAATCTGGAAATGCTAACCACAGTTTCAATGGTAACGGGAATACGACTGACGGCGAAAGCATACAAAGATAGCGACGCTTCCATCGCTTAGATTTAGGGTGATAGGTCGCACCACTGATATGATAAGAAGCACCCCACAATCAATAAGTCAAAGACCTAGACATAGTACCAGTTACATCTCTAATCTTTTATAAGGGGTCTTTTCCACATATAGCGTCAACCAAAGACCATAGCATCTTCCGATTCCAGAACATTTAAGTAAACAGCTTAAACAAGAATCCGATTCTGACTTCTTCTCATTCCAACTCATTCTCAATTCAATCCTCCTCAATTCAATTCTTCATATTTTCATTACGGTTATGTAAACACGCCACTAATGTAGACCTTATACATGGGGAACGAAAATAAACTATTTTGATGTTTTTTTTTTTGTTTTTTTTTTTTTTTTGTTGATGTACTGTATTGAATGGGGAGAGAAGAAAGAAAACCAGGATCAAAGAGAACGAAAATCTAGACAAATGATATCATGTAGAATTATGACTTCTTGCATTGATGTTTAGAAAAGATTTCAATATATATAGGTTATATTAATCCCTATTTAGTAGGGATCCTATACTAATAACAATGGAAAATTACGTACTAATGCATGCTACAATTCTAGAGAGAATTTCGGATTAATTAAGTCTAGTCTAACAACTGAGCAAGTTTCCAAATAATATTTTTTTTAAATTGCTTACATGGCATGCTGGTTAAGGGGTTTAATTTTTCACTAAAATATGCTATGGAAATTGGATTAAAATAAGGGAAAATTAGGTTCACATTCTTTTTTTTGTTACTCCATTGATTAAAATCCTATTCATTTTCAATTTTTGATCAAGGTCCTTGGATATTAATAACATCATTAATTATTTGAATAATAAAATATTTTTATTTTTAAATATATTCCTTTAATGTTAAAAATGTTATAATTAGTATATTTATATTTATGGCTAAATTTTTTATCATATATTTTTATTTTTAGTTTGTACCTATTTTTAATTTGCAAATATTTTTTAATGTGTACCAATTTTATTTTCATTTTTAATTTGTACCCATATATTAGTTTTTTTTTGTGCCCATATTTTTTAAAGTTTTATTTGTGTTTGTATCCATGTGTATACCGTCATGTGACATTGTATTTTTAATCAATGATAGAAAAATTACATATGGTATATTTATGTTTTATGCCTAAACTTTGTATCATATATTTATATTTTTAGTTTGTACCCACTTTTAATTTGCAACATTTTTTCTTAAATTTGTAGTATTTTCTTTTTAGTTTTATTTTGTACCCATGTATTAATTTCTTTTAGCGCCTATATTTTTAAAAATTCATTTGTATTCATAATTTTAATCTTTTATCTGTACCCTAATTTATTTCTAATGTACCCATTCTTCTTTATTAATGTACCACTTTGTTATATGTGAAATGTACCAATTTTTTTTAACACTATGGATTCATTCTTTTACCATTTATTATTTCTTATTTTTACATAGTTTTTATCCATTTATTCAATCAAAATATTTGAATTTTTTTATTGTAACCGATTCTAATAGTATTATAGTGAGGGATTTTAAATTTATAGGATTATAAATCTCATAAAATATCAAACAATTAATGTCAAAACTATAAAACTATAAATATTAATAGTAATATAATGAGATGTACAAAGTCAAGGGACCTTGATCAAACTTTGAATACTATTAAAGTTTTAATCAAAGAATGTTAATGATTAGAGACTGCATCCAAAATATTCCTTAAAATAAATTGTTCTATTGATAAAATTCAAACTGCAGGGAGTCTCAAGATTAGAATAAAACCCACGTTCTGTGGTTTAGGTTTATCCGCAATTTAAACTTGTTTTCTACTCATACGATAAACGTAGGCTGATTATATATACCACGCGGTTGATTATACAGACCGTGTGGTGGTGTTTGTAGTAATTACATGGGATCAAATAATTTTTCCAACTATAGCAGTTGTACAAGGGATCAAGTAATTACCCTTTGATTGCAAATACAAAGAGAGAGTTAATACTTATTTTAGAAGAGCAAAGACTGTTTAGAGAGTTATCATCAACCGCGTATGACTGCATTAGGCTTTCGTCCTTATCTGGATTAATCTCATGCTCTATTTTGTGAACCAACGATATTATCTATATTAAGAATGTGGACTTAACCTCACAATAGGCTAGCAATGATATAATTCAAATTCGCCTTTAGCGAGTAGCGAACCTAAGACCTATTACTTAATTACAAATGAAGAGAAATATCACTAGACCATAATAACAAAGGTATTAAATATCGATGATATCGGAAATATCGGTAGTCCAAAAACACGGAAATTTCGATGGAAATATCGGGATATTATCGATATCGATAAAAATTGAATAAAAACCACGGAAATTGTAAGAAAAACTTGGAAATTTTTATTGAAACTTTGCATGATGTTTATTTAGTCAATTATCTATTAGTTTATCACAAAAAATTGGAAGGAAATGCATTGCATGATAGATATAACTGATTTAAAGTTGATTATATAGCGAGCTGGCAAACATTGTGAGTGTAGAAAATATGTAGTAATTAATGAAAGAAGTTTAAACACACCATAATCATTTATATATAATGAATTAGTACAATATTTTACACTTTATACATTGCATGGTAAGATACATGAGTGATTTAGCAAGGTCTAAAATATCGATGATATCGGAAATATCGGTAGTCCAAAAACACGGAAATTTCGATGGAAATATCGGGATATTATGGATATTTTAGACCATGATAACAAGTGACATCGCATGCTCTAATTAATTATTTGTTTATTGTCCGAATCAGACGCATGGAGACGAAGGAGAAGCATGTGCACACGAAGTCCCTTCTCCAACATTATGTGTGGAAGAGTCCTATATATATTGTACTTTTACACTTAGCTAGCCAAGCCAACTAGAGACTAGCTAGCAATCATGAATAAGGCTAGTCTTGTTCAGTGCTCGGCAAACTACATACCCTTGTCACCTATAAGCTTCTTAGAGCGAGCTGCTGTTGTCCACGGCGATAAGATTTCGATCGTTTACGGTGGAGTGAGATTTTCATGGCAGCAGACGCTTGAAAGATGTCGCAAGGTCGCCTCAGCTTTCGTCCACTTAGGCATATGTCGCCATGATATTGTAAGTAGCTATATACTAATCTTTTATGAAAATGAGTATATAGGGATTTCATTGTATATTTAGTTTCAAGAATTGTCATATTAATTAGTATATGGTTTAGTATTGAAGTAGAAATTTTGAATGTTACATACATATCTTTTTGTGAGTATCTCACTTATCATTCAGTAAAAAAATCAATTTTCTTTTGTTAAAAGTAGTGTCTGCACAAACAGAAATACTTTTCAACACAAACTTGTAGCTGAAGGTCTTCTAACAATTAAGATCACATTACATTTTAATTTGAGTTTCATGGAACTTTGATCACCATTAGCCATGGCGATGGAGATCGATCTAGCTCACGACTAACTAGTCACCAACGACTCCGACTGTAGTAAAGTCAAGAATTTATTTTTTTATTTAGTATTTAAATATTATTGACCTAATATTATAAGACCCAAATTAGTTAATGAACTTTGTCAGTCAATGGTGCCAAATCACCAAGTCAACAGTTGCAACTTGTTCATGCATCTTGGCGTGCATGGTGGGTCAAATGGACCCATGAGGAACCATGATCATGGAACCGCCAGAGTAACATGCACGGTGAATCAGCTGCCAGTCTGTGCATACGTCGACTTTCATTTTTTTTAAATAAAACCACACATCCCATTTCAGGTAATACAAAACACATAGGTTATATACATATATACATATACATATACATACACACACACACACACATATATATATATATGTATATATATAGATTATGCTTGTTAAGGGTATCTCCCAAATTTGAAATGGAAGTCTTGTATAAAGTACTTAAAAATGGAATTGGATCTACTCCAGACCTTAGTGTTCGGAGTCTAGGGATCAATTCATCTAGGCCGCACAAATTCAGTCCAACGATCCCTATTAACTCATTTTCCTGGCCCACCACACAAAACCAACGGCTCTTATTTCTTTTACATACCAATCAGCGGCCCTTATGAATTGATCATTAGGCTCCGGACACTAGGTTCCGGAGCGGATCCAATTCCCTTAAAAATATCGAGTCTATCTATTGCTAGATGTCATCATCTGAATGAGAATTGTAAAGCTATCCTAGCCTGTTAACCAAGTGGTTATAGTTTGTTAAGCTCTAAGTGGGAGACTTAGGCCTGGTTTGGTACTGAGATGATTCTAAAAAAAGTGGGTATCAAAAAAAGTTGGAAGCTTTTTTGTGTTTAGTAAACATTCAACTTCAGTTTTTTTTTTCACAATTTTGGGTGAAAAAAAGCCAAAAACACAAAGTTGCAAAACCCAACTTTGAAAAACCGGCTTTTTTTCACATCTGTTTTATATAAAAGTTTACCAAACACTATAATACTGTTTTTTTTTTTCAAAAGCACTTTTACCAAAAAGTTTACTAAACACTTTGCTGCTTTATTTCACAACTGCTTATTCATACAGCATAGCAGAAGCAGCTTTTTTTCAAAGCACAGCAATACCAAACCAGCCCTTAGTGACTACGAAAGTTAGCTTACTCGAGCTATATTAAAATAAATAAATAAAACTGTATATATTCAAAACAATCATAAGATTCTAGAGAGAGTTTAATAGAATAAGACTGTAGTTGATCAAGAAGAAACATGAGAAACAGAAAAGCTCTCAGTTCATCATATTTCTTTCATTTCTTCAATTTTATATTTAATTCTAATTTAGCTATGGTTTTACGCTCATTATTAATTGATTTTAGGTTGAATGTTCAGTTCAAGTATGTCCAGGTACAGAGAACTCATAAGTCGTTGCATGTTGAGAATTATGTGTAGGATCCTCATGTACTGATATATGCTGGTTTATGCTCAGTTTTTTATGTCATTGATGTTTGTTGTGTATTGCTAATTTTATTCCCATTTGTATATTAATTTGTCCGTTGGTTTGTGTGTATTGTCATCTTCCAGACCTAGGCCGACAAAAATAAATAATAGATAAAGACCTTTTAACCCTTTGCTTAACTTTATTGAGAACAAGAGTTCAATAGAAACACGAACACTTTGAGTCTTTGACCAAACCGACTAAAACCCAAAAAGCTTACGTTTGCAGATTTCTTTTTAGTATGCGTTGCAGATTCCTCAAACTCTCTCTCTCTCTCACATACTACGTACTGTCTTACGACGAGGTCCTGTCTTAAAAATTTGCATGTTGCTAAGGCTACATATGTGCCAGTGACATAACTGGTGTGACGTACATAATCGAAACTTCTTTTTATCGAATATAATAAACCCAACTGGAGAAAGAAAAATCTCCTCCCACTAATCTTTAACACTTGGGAACCAGTCATCAGCCAATTAAATATATAAGATGATTCAAGATCAAGTCATTGATTAAGGTTTTTTCTTTCTTTCCTTGTTATTTGAAGTGGGATTATGTCAAACACAACACCAAAATTAGCTTTTCGTGTCACATATTATATGCCATAAAAGTACTTCACGGCACATAGTGGAGTAGTGCAAGATAGACTAATTTTTTTAAGAATAAATTTACAAACTATGTAATGTGTCACTAATAGAAAATAAGCATGTTAAAACACTTAAATAATAATTCAATCATCAACAATCATCTCATATGGTTTACAAAATTTGATTTTAAATGATTGATCTCCCTATCATTACCCCACACATTTGAGTGTGCCATAAAATTCTTGCAGTAAGGCCATCTCTAACCGAGGGCTGGCCAAATGGCTCGTTTTAGCCCTCTGGCCCTCCAAGATTCCCCAAGATATTAATATTTTAATGAACAGTACATGGTCATATTGCCTCTGTCTCTAACCGAGGATCAAAGGGTCATAGGGCTAAACATAATTTATTATTTAAAACTACAACTTAAATTCAAATCCAACGGCTAAGTGACAAATTTTGTGAAATAGAAGTTATAGGAAAAAATGGAATTTAAAAAAAATATGAAACAAATTTTGTGAAATAAAAGTTATAGGAAAAAAATGGAATTTAAAAAAAATATGAAATAAATTTTGTGAAATAGAATAGAAGTTATAGGAAAAAAATAGAAGTTATATGAAAATTTTTGTAAATAAAAAATAATAATAAAACTGTAAAAAAAAAAAAAAAAAAAACCAAATGCAACGGCTACTAGCCGTTACATTTGAATTTTTCTTAAGAAATCCTGTCGGTTATAACCGACAGGAATAACAAAACATTAAAAAAAAATAGCCAGCCCTTTGGCCCTTTGAAATTCCGTGGGGCCCTCCCAGATTCCCGAGCCCTCTGGCCTAGCCCTTGGTTGGAGACTGTTTCAGGGCTATTTTCGGCCCTCTGGACCCTTCGGTTGGAGATGGCCTAGAAGGCCCATCTCACTTATGACATGCATTTGCCCACTACGTAAGAAAGGTAACACACGTTCTGTATAGCGGAAGCACACGACTTGACTTTGTGCAGTATGTATAATGTAACAGTAATTTCTAATCAATTAAAATGTTTGAACTTCTTCCCTGACCAGGTTGCAGCTTTTGCACCAAACATTCCAGCACTTTATGAGCTACATTTCAGCGTTCCAATGGCTGGAGCAGTTCTTTGTGCACTTAACATTAAGCTGGACGCACCCGCATTAGCGTTGATATTACAACAACTGGAAGCCAAAGTCATTATTGTAGATCATCAGTACCTTAAAGTTGTCCTCCAATCACTTGACATTTTGTCCCAAACAAAGTCCAACTCCAAGCCACCTCTCCTCATTCAAATCCCAAAGTGTGGCCAATTATCATCATCTTCTCCTACTGATCTTGATCTTCCACCAGATGCCCTTAATTACAATGACCTGCAGGAATCAGCAGAACCCAGTTTTCAGATTCTCAGACCCAACAATGAATGTGATCCAATTTCGGTGAGTTACACTTCTGGGTCAACAGGTGATCCCAAGGGAGTTGTGTACAGCCACAGAGCGGTGTACCTAAATTCACTGGGAGCAATTTTTCAGAGTGACATGAGAAAAATGCCGGTTTTTCTATGGACGGTCGAAATGTTTCGGTGCAATGGCTGGTGCTACCCTTGGGCCGTTGCTGCTCTTGGTGGCACCAATATCTGTCTCAGAAGTGTCTCAGCCAAAGCCATTTTTGAAGCAATTGATCTTCACAAGGTAACACACTTATGTGGTGCACCCTCTATATTAAACATTCTAGCAGATGCCTCAGAAAATTATCAATCTAGGGTTATAAAATCAAGTGTGGAGATTATTGTTGCTGGTGCATTGCCAGCACCCGAGATTCTGATCAAGGTTACAGAATTAGGGTTTAATGTGAGCCATGGATATGGCATGACCGAGGCTCTTGGACCCGCAATTGTCACAACATGCAAACCCCAGTTGGAATCTCAGTACAATCTAATGATGGAAGGGGTTGATGTGAAGGATCCAAACAATATGGAGAGTGTGCCATATGATGGAAAAACAATGGGGGAGATCATGTTTAGAGGCAACACTTTGATGTTGGGATATCTGAAACACTCAAACCCTAATCATGAAATTTTCAGTGGTGGATGGTATAGGACTGGTGACCTGGCAGTTAGGCATTCAGGTGGGTACATTCAGATGAAAGATAGGGCAAGGGACATTATAATTTCTGGTGGGGAGGCTATAAGCACACTTGAGGTGGAGGCAGTTTTGCTGACTCATCCACAAGTTTTGGAGGCTGCTGTTGTGGGGAAACATGATGAGGTTTTGGGGGAGACTCCTTGCGCTTTCTTGAAGTTGAAGAAGGGTTTTGGTGGTGGTGAAGAAAGTTGTAAAGAGATTATGAGGTTTTGTGAGAAGAAAATGCCTGCCTTTATGGTTCCACAAGCTTTGGTGTTTGGGGATTTGCCTAATTCCACTGGGAAGATACAAAAGTTTGTTCTAAAGGAGAAGGCCAATCTTGTGGGAAGCCTAGAATAAGAGCTGGTTTGGTATTGTTGTGCTTTGAAAAAAAAACTGTTTTTGCTGTATTGTGAGAATAAACAACTGTGAAATAAAACAGCAAAGTGTTGGTAAACTTTTTTGTAAAAGTGCTTTTAGAAAAAAAAAAAAAAAAAAAGTAGTATGATAGTATTTGATAAACTTTTATGTAAAACAGCTATGACTGTGTAAAATGACCAAAAAGAGTATAATACTAGATGTGCTATTAATTTAATTTTCTTAACAAATAAAGGTGAATTACTAAATATACTTCATTTTTAAAAGAAAAATATTTATAAACTTTATCTTAAATATTAATTAGTATGACAAACTACTTCAATTGAAATATTTTAGACTGATAGCAATCTAATTAGATGCATTCATCACACTTGCCGCTATTCTATTTCTTAATGCTTCTATCTCATGTGATCCTTCAACTTGATAATTTTGGAACAGTAGACTATGTACATAATAAAACCAGGAAAGCCAATTACAATTGACTTGAAAGTCGAAAAAAATCCAATACAAAAGGAAAAAGAAATGCTAAAACAACAATTTTAACTCAAGTTCTCACCAAATTGTAACTAATTAGCCTATCAAACTTGTATCCAGCGTCATGCCTCATGTTTTGTTTAAAATGAAATCAACAGAAGCTTCTGAAACACCGATGCAACGAAGAATAAAACAAACATGTTACCAAAGTCAGAGTCCCCCTTGCAAGGAAACAGATGGTGAATAGCCTTCAAAGCAACTAAAATATATCTTTTTACAATATTCTCATTTGTCAACCAGACACAAATGAGAACCTTTGGAGAAGAGATTAACCTGTGGACAAAGATGAAAAGCCATCATCCAAATGATTGTTTAATTGCTCATTTTGATTGACTCGGTCACTCTTTCTTGAACGCGGAGTACCTTTGCCTAGTATTAGTTTAGAGAACAGATTAAATAGTGAAGAAGAAAACCATATCACCTTTCCCAATTAATTTTTTCCCGACCCTCCATCCCCAATTTTTTTTTCCCGACACCCATACACTCATCCCTTCGCTCTTCCCACCCCTCTTTCACTCACTCTCCCCATCCCAAATTTCAAAATCCAAACAAATACATAACGAAATTTTAGACGAGAAGCTTACCAGAGGTGCAGCGGCAGGCAACAGAGGAAAAGGAGGAGGAGGAAGAGGTGCAGCGGCAGGCAACAGCAGAAGAGGCGGAGGGGTTTTGAGGAGGAGGATAATCGAATCGATTCCTAATCGAAAATCTTTGCTATCTGAATAAGAAAAAAAAACAGCAGATTCAAATCAAGAACAAGCAAACCAAATCCAACCGATTAAAAATCTGGGAAAATTTACCATACCAACATTTCAAGAATAGCATATTCCACAGAAAATGTTGTGTTTGGCTCATACATTTGTGAGTAATTATGAGTCATGTGTTAACAACAATGAAGTGACCTGTGTTTGCTTTCGGTGGAAATATCACATGGTGTGGGTTGCATGAAAATTGCAGACAAAGTAAAAGCAAAAGTTTGGTGGACATCATCATGAGTAAAAACATAATGATGATGCTTGCTTTTACTTTAATGATGATGTTTGTAGAAAAAGGGGAAGTTGATTCCTTTTTCTTTTGCTATTTATTTTGCTAAGAACCGAAGGGAGAGAATGAGAGATTTGGCTCTCTCCTGAGAAGGCATCAGAGAGCATCCAAAGGGGGAGAGCATTCGGCTTTCCCATGGGAAAGCATGGGCACGGGTGAGAGAAAATCAAGAGAGCTAGAGTGAAAAGTATTCAAGTGAAAGAACTCTTGAGGTAGAGTGAGGCTCTTGGGAAAATTCTATGAGTGGGTGTGCAAGGGATTTGGGATTGGGTTATGTTGATTTAACTCATGTGTATTTGTACTGTTATTCTCATAGTGAAGAGCAATATCTCTCTGGGGACGTAGGCAGGTTTTTGCCGAACCTCGTAAATTTCTCGGTGCTTTATTTCTTGTATTTTATTTTGTTCAACTGACTGTGATTTTGGTGAGGTTGTAATCTGAATCTCGTTTCCGCACTGACAAACGGGCCAAGGCACAACAATTGGTATCAGAGCATCGTTGGAGGTCCAGATTTGTTGTTCACCATGAATTTTTCAGTTGAGCAGTTTAATGGGAGAGGCGGTTTTACTCTTGGTAAAGGAGAGTAATGGAAGCTTGAAGAAATGGAAGCCATGTTCAGGGATGCTTAGATCTACTGCGAAAGTTGATGTTGAGGAAGAAGACAAAGGCCTATTTCTTCTTCCCTCACTTTCAGATTCGTACGAGAACCTTGTGAAACTTTACTGCATGGAAAGTTACAGTAAGTTTGGAGCAGGTGCAAGCTTCTTTGGTGTGGAATGATACACAAAGGAGACCATGGATAATGGTGGGCACAAGACTGCTTAAGTTATTAAAGGTTGGAATCGTGGAAGAAAATTGGAAAGAGGATCTGAGAGAGACAGCAGGTTCAGATCCGGTTCCAGAGGCAAGGGTCCACAGTGCTACAGGTGCTAGACCGGGTTGTAGCAAGTTTGTGGTGTAAGACTTCGAGTATGCCCTCTAGGTACTCAGAAGCAACACTTCTCCTGGTGATGTTTAGTCTCAAGTGTTGCAGGGGTTTTGCAGCAGGTGGAGCTATATGATTCACATGTGATCAGATGGTCCTGAGGTAGGAGGAAGTGTGGGAATTTTGTCTGGCTCGATGGGTTGTTGCTGGAAAATGGCGCGCTGACGAGTTTCCAGGTTGCAGACAATGAAAAGGAGGAAAACCTGCTGGAGGAGACGAGGATGTGTCGAGATCTTGTCTGAAGCTAAATGGTGATTTTTTAGCTTGCAGCAGCTGCACATGCATTGGCAGTGACTGAATCGGAACAGGACCAATGAGGTGGATTCAGTGTGTGCATGCTGGTACGTAAGGCCAATGGACTTTGGTGATGGGTGCAAGGATTTTTGCATGGTGTATTCGCCAAGGTGGAGATTGTTGTGTTTGGCTCATACATTTGTGAGTAATTATGAGTCATGTGTTAACAACAATGAAGTGACCTGTGTTTGCTTTCGGTGGAAATATCACATGGTGTGGGTTGCATGAAAATTGCAGACAAAGTAAAAGCAAAAGTTTGGTGGACATCATCATGAGTAAAAACATAATGATGATGCTTGCTTTTACTTTAATGATGATGTTTGTGGAAAAAGGGGAAGTTGATTCCTTTTTCTTTTGCTATTTATTTTGCTAAGAACCGAAGGGAGAGAATGAGAGATTTGGCTCTCTCCTGAGAAGGCATCAGAGAGCATCCAAAGGGGGAGAGCATTCGGCTTTCCCATGGGAAAGCATGGGCACGGGTGAGAGAAAATCAAGAGAGCTAGAGTGAAAAGTATTCAAGTGAAAGAACTCTTGAGGTAGAGTGAGGCTCTTGGGAAAATTCTATGAGTGAGTGTGCAAGGGATTTGGGATTGGGTTATGTTGATTTAACTCATGTGTATTGTACTGTTATTCTCATAGTGAAGAGCAATATCTCTCTGGGGACGTAGGCAGGTTTTTGCCGAACCTCGTAAATTTCTCGGTGCTTTATTTCTTGTATTTTATTCTGTTCAACTGACTGTGATTTTGGTGAGGTTGTAATCTGAATCTCGTTTCCGCACTAATGAACGGACCAAGGCACAACAGAAAACCCCCCCAATATTTATCTTTTCTAATCCAACTCCTATGTTAAAACCGACCCGTGACAGTAAGAACCCACACGAACAAGCATTTGATCAACTCGAGGCACAACTTAGCAGTAAGCAAACATATCTGTTAAATTTATCGCGAAGAGCAAGAAATACACTCACAGTTTCAGCGGACGGAGCCCGCGATGCCGTGAGATTGCTGCGATTAGGGCTTAACAGATCCTGATTTCGATTCGGGTTCGTCGAAAAGGAACGAGAATCGCTAGGGTTTTTGGTTGAAGCTTGAAGAGGTCGTGCGAGAGAGAGTCTGAAAGTGTGTGGAAGGCAGGAGAAAGGAGAGCAACGTTGGCAAATTGAAAATTTCATTAATGAATTACTGTTTATCCGTGTTTTTTTCAATAAGCTGTTTTTTTTAAGTTGCTTTTTGCAGTTTCATGTTTTTGGTTTTTTTCATTTAAAACTTTCAAATAAAGTTGATTTAGAGTGTTTACCAAACACTAAAAACTCTCCTAATTTTTTTTTATACCCACTTTTTTCAAAATCACATCAATACCAAACCAGGGCTAAGATGCCTAATCTCTTATACGGGCCCGGCACATACAATTGGAAAACAGGTTCGCTTCAGACTGTTATATATGCATGAAACCATTAAAATTTCGGATATGACTGATTTGATTTCTTATTATTTGTTGGGACAAGGATTGTCTGCCCTTCCTTTTTTTTATGTCATTCTATGCCCTCCTGTTTGTGTGGTCACGGTTAAGCCACGTCAACATTTTATATTACTATTTATTTTTGTCTTATTATCTTTATAAAAATATATATATATAATGTTAACGTGACTTAACCATGACCACACAAAACAGGAGAGCATGGAAGGACATGAAAAAAGGAAGGGAAGACAATCCTTGTCCTATTTGTTGATAGTACAGCGTTCTTAGTTGGACTTTTTATTTATTGAGATTACAATAATGGTTTGTTCTATTTTGATATTAAAAATAAAAAAGTAAAGAAAACTAATGAAAAAGGTTTGAAAATTTTGAGTTTTAATGATAAAGATAATATAAAGAGTAAAGTGAATAGTAACATGTTTGACTTTTTAGTGTAAAAATGTGGTTTTTCATTAAAGTGAACAGTATCGTGGGCTTTTCGTTAAAACTCTCAATAAAGTAAGGCTTTTTATATTTACATCTCATAAAATGTTGAATACATCCTCCATTAAAATTTAATATTCATGACTTATTTACTCTATTATGTAATGATAATTTTGACCTTATTAAGTTTAAAAAATAATAAAAAATTTATAAATACATCACAAATCACTTTTAACATATTATTTATCTACTTCAACTATCAAAACCTCTCTCATGTTCCATTGTTGAATAAAACCTTAAGTAATGAAACTACAAACATGTTGATTGATAAAAAAATATTTTTGACAAATGGAACACGAAATCGGTGTTTCGAAAGCTTTGAAATCATTATTATTGTTATTGAAAAATGTTCAAATGAACCTCAACATTTTTTAAAATCATTCAATTTGAAATCATTCGGCAAACTAACGTTCAGATGGTTTGAAATCATTTGGCAAAATTAAAAATGAGTGTTATAAGATTTGAGATATGTGGGGTGTGTGTAGAAAATGTAAGGTGTATATTAAAAATGTGGGATGTGAGGATATTATGGGGAAGGAAGTGGGGTGTATTAAGATAATTTTTAATTAAAAAAGTAAATGTGTAATGTATTAAGTATGTGAAGTTTATTTAAAAATTTATGAGGTGCTAATATATTTTTTTTTTGGACAAACAGAGAACTTTCATTAATAAAAATTAATACAAGAAATGGAAGGCCCGGAGGCAAGCCAAATAAAAGTAAATATGGTATAAGTCATAAAGTAATGGTTTAATAAATACTTTTATTTATTGAAATTATCGCTCTATTTTGATATCAAAGATAAATTGATGGGTCAATATATGCAAAGTTTTCATTGGAGATTCATGACTAATTCTTCAGCATACTTGAAACATCACTATGTAGTTTTTTTTGACAAACCTCGACGGTAATAGGAAATTTTTGTTGATAATGAAAAAAACAAGTTACTTCTAGTCAGGGGGGACGTAAACCTAACGCCCTCGTAATACAAGAAAAAAGGACAAGAAAAATACATGAAAAATAAGGGGATGGACATAAACCTTACCCTTCTAGAAACAAAGACAGTAAAGATAGAAGGAATAAAATAGGGGACATGAAACCTAACCCCTCTAAAGCAATCCTAAAGGTCTAAACCTGCAAAACAGATTGAACAACATCACAAGGTTAAAAAAAAAAAAAGTGAGACAAACATGTATGTCTAGATGCACATTTAAGTTAAGAAATAGTTCCGATGACCAATCCCTAAAACTCCTCCACAAGCAGCATGACCAGTTTTTCCTTTAGATAAACCATTTGTATTAAGTTTAATCCAAGTAAACTAAGAAGGAGACTAAAATAGTTGGTGCATTGCGAGGGATAGGTTGGATTCCCAAAAAAGGAATGATACGAGTGTCAAAATGCTGAGAATAACCAAGAATAAACTTTCCACCATAAACGATCTCAGAACTAATAAACATGCAAAGACGATGAAAATAGGCGACCCTAAAAAGGAAACTTATTTCGAGCTTTACAAATAGCTGAAGTAGTAGAAAGACTCGTAAAATCCAGAGATTGTGCAACTGTTGGGAAAAAGTGTTTACGTACATAGGCATCACAAAAACAGCAGAGAATCTAAAAAAGACAAAAAGGTGCCAAATTGACATGTTAACCACCTCCAAAGTTGCCTAGATATCCGAAAACCGAAGAAAAAATGAACAGTAGATTCCTCAAAATTATGACATAAACAACAAATGGACGCCAAAGAAATACCACGTAGTTGTACTACACCTTCGGTAGGAAGTTTATCACGAAGAAGTTGCCAAACCAAAATAAACAGTCGAGGTGGAATAAAATGCAGCCAAATAACCTTAACTCAAGCACAATCACTATATTTTCGTCGAATAAGATGATAGCCACAAGAGAAGGAAAATTTTGCAATAAATGTAGGCTCCCATATCAATCTGTCATTCTCTACAATTAAAGACAAAGGTAGATATAGAATTTGTTGCACCACAGAAGGAAATAAATCTACAAAATAATCTAGTAAAGACCAACTTTGAGCTTCAATAACATTTGAAACCCTTGGAAGAACAGTAGGTAAAATGAATGAAAATAATAAAGGGACAATAATCGGGTTGTCCAACCATTTGTCAAACCAAAAGAAAACTGACTTCCCATCACTAATAATCCAACGACTATCTTATTCAGAATAGGCAAAGCACACTTCAAACTGTGCCACATAGAAGACCGTAAATAGATATCTTTTTTTGTAAGGTGCAAGACGAAAACGTTGACTAGTGAAAGGACCCAACAAAAAAGGGATTGTAAAGCATCCCAACCAAAACTAATCAAAGTCGTTAGGTTCAAAGCAGCCAAATCACAAAAACCAAGCCCACCTTCATGCTTAGATCCAAACACCATACTTTAATCAACAATTACTAACATTCGCGAAGCCAAGTCTCTTTGGCCAAATAAAATTTTGTGCACAAGCAGAAAGATGCTTTTAAAAGGCAAGCTGGGCATTGATAAACTGAGTAGCTGTGGAGAAACAAGCTTTGATAAATAGATTGCACCAATTGGAGTCATCCAACCATTGAGAGAAGTTTACCTTTCCAACCTAAAAGGCGAGATTTAGACTTATCTACCAAAGCTTGAAAGTGAATTATCTTTGGCTTACCACGAAAAATAAGTACCCCAAGATAAGTGAAAGGAACAGCACCCATATGAAAGCCAAGATGTCTCGAGACATGCACTCTACGATGGGGAGAAGTAGAGCCGAGATAAAAAGTACTATTCGAAAAAAAATTAGACATTCCATCTTATGACACCAACACTTTTGATGTTATTTGACTTTGCATTAACAAGTTGTCCCCAAGCACTACCATATTTATCCAAGAACTTTCGAAGAGAACAAAGAGATCCAACATTCAAATGACAAAAAATAAAAAGATCATCAGCATATATCACATGAGTTAGAGGGCAACAACTCGTGGAGCTGAAATAGTAGTGATCTGTCCAATAGAGAAAAGCAAAGATAAACCTCTACTCAAAGCTTCCTCTACTAGATAGAAAATAAGTGGAGAAAGAGGGTATCCCTGACGTACAACTTGAGAGCAAAAGAAAAATCCATGTGGTGTGCCATTTACCAAAAATTAAAAGACGAGCTGATTGTAATAAAATATGCACCCAATCCACAAAAATACGTGAAAATCCAAAGCTAGAAAGGATGTGGAGAAGAAGGTTTCAGTTTAAAGCATCAAAAGGTTTAGCAATATATAAGTTTATGGCCACATTACCACCAAAAGCTTTTTTTGTCCATAAAATTGAACCTTTCTGAAACTAGTCTAATGCAATCATTAATATGTCTACCTTTCAAAAATGTCGTTTGCTAATGAGAAATCATGCGAGTGGCAATAGGATCAAGCTGATCATCAAGAATCTTGGGAATAATTTTGAACAAAAATTAGCAAGAGTAATGAGCCAATACTGAGCAATGGTGGCAGCCCCTTCTACTTTAGGGATAAGCACCACAAAGATGCAATTAGCATTTGCATAAAGCCAGCCACGCCTAAAAATAATCTTGAACAAAAGCAATAACATCTAAACCAACAATATGTCAACATGACGAATAGAAAGAACCAGGAAAGCCATCAGGTCTGGAGCACTCGAGGGATATATAGAGAAAACAACATTATTGATTCCATCAGCTGAATATAAACAAGAAAAAGCAAGATTTTCCCTGTCACTAACTATAGGCGGAATTACACCACAAATATCTTCAATTCCAATTGGAGTGAATAAAGAGTTATATAAGGATCGATAAAAGTTTACCACAAGACTAGCAATATCAGTAGGGAAAAAGAGTACATTATCACCATTGAAAAGAGTAACAATCTTAAAAGAAGAATGCTTATCTCGAGCATAAGCCAAAAGGTGCATTTGTTTTTTTATTAGTATACCCTACAAGTGACAGACTTGAGCTTTAGCCAAAAGGTGCTAGAGTCCCCATGTTGTTTGGTATACTTGGGTGCTCCCCTCTGCACCTGAATTGGAGTTTTCATGTTGTTTAGATTAATATAATGTAGAATATCGTTGACATCAACAAAAATAATCAATTTATAACATATATTTATACATCTTGAAAGTAAAATATAGCGATCATATTATCCGTCGGTCATCCATGTTATATCACATGAATAACATCACAAAACGTGGTTTCTAAACTTCTCATTGTAGAAGCCGAATGGGA